GTTCTGAAGAACCGTCGTTGTTGGAGATGTTAAGTCTCGACAACGCATCAGCGACGATGTTCTGTTCGCCCTTGATGTACCGTAGTTCAGGGCGTATTCTTCCAGAATAAAGCGCCATCGCATTACGCGATCGTATTTGAAGTTCTTACATGTAAATTCTTGTGGTCCGTATGTACAACGATCTTCTGTCCTAGAAGAATGTTACGGAACTCTTTAGAGTTTCTACGATACTGAGAAGTTCCTTCTCGGTAACTGTGTAACGTGTCTGAGCAGGGTTGACTTCCTGCTGTAGAACGGATAGGTTTCCCTTCTGGGAAATTACTGCACCTAGTTGAGTATCACTCGCATCCGTGTGGATAACGAATGTATCGTTGAAGTCAGGGTAGGCAAGTAAGGTTTCTTTGCTGATGATCTTCTTCATCTGGCTAAAGGCCTTGTCGTGTTCCGCTTCCCATTTCCACTTCGTTGTTTTGGAAGTCAACGAAGCGAGTGGGGCCAGTACATGTGATCGTCTAATCCACATGTCTCGATAGTAGTTCACTAGTCCAATGAATCTACGGAGTTCCTTCTGTTGGTAGGAGAGCGATATTCTTGATGCGTCTATTTTCTTGGTTATAGGTTGGATCCCTTCTCGAGTAATCCAGTAACCTAGGTACTCAAGTTCTCCTCTTGCGAAGAAGGACTTGTAGCATTGATCTTAAGTCCGGCTTCTCGAAGCCTTCGGAGAACTTCATCCAACTTTTCAACGTGATCTGCTAGATCGCCGTTAGTTAGATGAGTAGATCATCAATGTATGCACGAACGTATTCTAAGTCGTGCATTAGTGTTCCCATCTTCTCTTGGAAGATGTCGGACTATTGCATAGCCCATTGGCAATCTCTGGTACTCTATTTCCCCACGGGAGTACGATGGTACAGAGTTGCTTCGAGTGAGGTGACAGCTCGATGTGATAGTATCCCATGTTCAGGTCTAGACTAGTAGCGACTTGAATCCATCTGGTTCAAGAGCATGTCCTGTATTTTTGGATAGGATAAGGTTCCGCTTAATCCTTTTGTTCAGTTCCCGGAAATCAGAGATGATCGTACAGATCCATCTTTCTTGGGATGATGAAAGTTGGTGCCGCCCACTCGGAACGGTTTACCTTCTTGAGTACTCCTGCCTCGCAGAGACGTTCAACCTCCATTTTAAGAGTGTTGGTATGAACCCGTGGAATAGGATAAGCTCTGGCATGATAGGTTTAGCATCAGGGAGAAGTTCTACTTCGTAGTCGTCCATCTGCCACTTTCCTAAAGTACCATCGAAAGGTCAGAGTACTTCGTCAGTAAGGAATGAAGCTGTTCCTTCTCTTCCGTGTTTAACTGATCTTGACTTTGGCAACCTGCCTTAAGTCAGCTTGTTCGTATTTCGCATCATAAGAATCTTCTTGAGACGATCTGCACTGTCATCAACAGCGGTAGGATCAGGAATGAAGAAGTTCTCTTCTTCATTGGTGTCGCTATCTTTCATAGGAATAGATGCGCCGTCCCATCCACTGACATGGTAGTGAAATCGAACTTGAAACCTAAGTCAGAGAGAATGTCTCGACCTATGATCATGTCATACGCCCCAAGCTCTTGGTGACGTGTGAATCCCACTCGATAATTCTATCTTCGTGGAATTCAGGAATCATAAATGCACCTTTGCACTTCGTGCTGGTGTTTAATTCTCCTGCAGGGTAGTCCACATCGTTTGGACGCCCCCAAGATCCTTCATGCGTAGTTTCTTAGCATGAGGTTGAGCAATCAAGGTTCCGGATGTCCTGTATCCAGTAAGCAACGGATGGTTTCCCTTTTTCTCGCTGTTAAATCTAACATAGACGATGGGTTTGAGGTCTCTTGTCTTGCGACGTTTACGAGGTGGTTGGCCACGGATGAGGTTAACGATGCTAAATAGATCATCAGAGTCTAGTTGAGCAGCTTCTAGGCAATCATCTAATTTGCCGTAGAGTTCATCAGTTGCAAACCATTCTTGTTTACTAGTTAGTGAGATATCTTCATCACTTTGGTATGAGAAATCGGAACAGGGTTCCGTTGAGTCATCATCCTGGCCTAATCCTCAGATAGAGATTTCTCCATCCAAGTGATTGAAGTTGATAGAGGAGTTGTCCTCATTGTCAGAGTTTTCTGATTTGCGCTTGGCAACATGGTTGCGAAGTTTGCAAGTGGTTGCACGAGTATCGTCGATTCTTTTTGTCGTCTTGTCACGAGAGGAAGAATGGTTTGTCACGCACTGTTTTTCGAAGTTGCTAAACGCATGCTTTCCTTGACCATCTTCATGGTGAAGGAATATTGAGGGTAGCTGAAAGCTATTGTGTTTGTTAACAAAATGCACTACGCTAAAAGCTAGTGAAAGATCTTTCGATGTGTTTGAGTTTGAGAGAAAGAAAGTTATGAGGAGATTAGAAAGTATGAAACTAATCAACGGAGAGATCATCATCAAGGATCGTAGATCTGGCTTCCCGCGGGAGACTATAAGTGTGATAGAGTAGGTAGGTTGGGTAGTAATCCTACGTCTCTCCACGATCCTAAAACGGAACGCGTGGAAGTTGTCTAGCTTCTAGTAGCGTGGAAGTGCTCCACGCTGGCTAAATATCTAGAGCGATGTTTCATCATCAACCTAGTATGACTAACGCGGTCATGAGAACCCTGTCTCAAATGACTATTCACGAGAGACTCAGTCATGATCGAACTCAAACCCTATCTAGGATCGAGTCGCGAATAGGCTAAGAGCCGTGTATTGCAATTGACACCGAAAGGTGGCAAACGTGGAAGCTCATCGGTGTTCATCCGAGTGAGGTTGTTGAATGACGAGTTGTCATTCGCTAGGCTTACGCATCTTGCGACGCATGAAGCGTTTCTGTTTTTCGAGAGCCTTGTAAGACAGGCTGCTTCGATAACCGCATTGATTCCAAAGGTGATGTCAGCATCGCTTAGAGCGGGTTCCGCTGCACCTCCCATGCGGCTTGGACACGATGGAAGGCTTCGGTTTTCCAGAAGTCACATCGCGTGGAGGAACTGCTTCACAGCAATTTGTCGTAGGGCGTTATGACCACAGGCACGATGGCCTGCACACCCAGCTTCGTAGGCACTCTTCGCAGAGCTGGAAGTCATCTCCTTGAGAAGGCGATGTTTGTCGTCGGCATAGCAAGGTTGAGTCCAACGAGAGACCTTCTCCATATTCGTAGCCCACTTGATTCTGACGTGGAGTGTTGGAACCATTGATGATGGCTACCTTGAAGGTGTATTTGCACTGTTTGCATCTGCAGGAACGGTGCGAAGTTTGTAGGTGGTGCACGAGAATCGTCGATCTCGGCGTCTTCGTCTTGTCGACGAGAGGAAGAATGGGTTTGTCACGCAACTGTTCTCGAAGTTGGTGAACGCATGCTTTCCTTGAGCAAACTTCATGGTGAAGAATAGGTTGAGGGTAGCTGAAAGCTATTGGGTTTGTTAACAAAATGCACTACGCTAAAAGCTAGTGTAAGATTTTCGAGTGTTTGAGTTTGAGAGAATGAAAGTTATTGAGAGAGATTAGAAGCTTGAAAACTAATCCATGAGAGATCGTTGTGAAGCTCATTGAAGTTGGTCTCCCGCGGGAGGCCTCGAAGTGGATATCGTAGGTTATGGCAATAATCTACGTACTCCACGGTCATTTCGGAACACGTGGAAATTCAGCTAGTAGCTGTCTAGTAGCGTGGAAGCTTTCCATCGCCGGCTAAATATCTAGAGCGATGTTTCATCGACAACCTAGTATGACTAGCAGTCATGAGAACCCTGTCTCAATGACTATTCGCGAAGGACTACGTCATGAGTCGAACTCAAACCCTATCTAGGATCGAGTCGCGAATAAGGCTAAGAACCGTGTATTGCACTTGGTTTTCTTCCTTGGCATCACTGGGAATCTGGAAGTGGTGTGGAAACGGCTCGCCAGAAGCAAAGCATCCAGCAAGCAGAGTGCAGGAATAGCTGCTCTTGTGAGCTGACTGCGTTGCTCCAGCCGAGATTCTTGATGAATAGAAGCCAGCTGCCGGTCGTCCACCTTTTCCATTGTTTGTGTCATCAAGAGTGAGCGGTGATTCATCGATATTGGCAATGCGTCTGCCTTGGTCTTCGCCAAAGATGAGCTCTCCGGTCTCTTCCCATTGGCTCTCCGGAGCTTCCACGGCAAATCCTTGTTCAACAAGGAAATCCTTGAATGATGAGAACCATTGATTAATATTGCTATAGGTCCCCCACTTCCTTCTCCTTTGTTCGATTCTGTTTGGTTTGCTCAGATCAATCTCTGCAGCTACGTCCCTTTGAATCCTTTCGAACAGCTTTCGGCCCATTCGATGTTCGTCTCATTTGCTGTTGACAACTGCGTTAACCTTTCGTGCGAGTCCAGGTCTAGTATTGGATGAAATCGTCCCGTCCTGTTGAGCGAGGATGGCATATGACTTGACAGCTCCACAAAGAGCCCCATAGACATCCGGAGGAAGTCGACCTTTGTTGCCACGGCGGTTGATGGGCTGTCCCATTCTGCCATCCTTAACATACTCCCTTACAGTTCTTGCCACAATTCGCCCACCATCCAATTGCTCTTGGTATGTCTGATTGATGACCGCACAAATTGCTTCGGCAGATTTGAAACCATCAAGTTTTTTGCCATTCTCTTTCGCAACAGCCTTCCTGTCGCACTCAGTCTTGAACTCGTTGCATGCTTGCTTGAAGAGATTGTCCCGTAATTGCTTCAGTTCGGCTTGTCTCTTTCTGCCACCGTGGGCCTGCTTGATTGTCAATCGCATTTTCCCCTTCGGTTTGGTTGGAGCACCGGCATGGATGGTTGGTATGGGCAGGGAAGCTGCCTGTGGTTGTGGCTGAGTCGCAGCTGTTTGATGGTTTGAAGATGTTGTCTGGCTACCGGTAGCTTCTGCTTGTTGGATTGAGTCTCTAGCCCGATAGATGCTGCGCTTGATTGCATCATTGTTCATATCAGTTTCATCAAATCCAGCAAATTGAATCACTTGATTGACCGTCATTGCGTTTCCTTGCTTGCTCAGTTTCAGGAACATTCCAGCCCGATGAATGGCGTCATCGTCCTTCCTCCTCTTGTAGCGCTTTGTCGACATCTTGATGTTGCTCAGCGTGGAGCGAAACTGTGCCTTGCTCTTGATTGTGGCAACTTTCGGTTCGATTTTTCGTCCCAGGATTTGGACTGGCAGGCGTTCAGTTGTGTCTTCTAAATCTACATGTGCCGTCTCCTAAATCCAAGAAAGCATTGCCAGCGTTTGCCCTCTGGAACGATTGGATTCTTGGTCGCAGTCACAACACAAAAGAGACGCAATGATGATGCCAACTGAAAAGGATTGGCCGAACGGATACAGCAAGCGCATTATAAGGCAATAACACAGTCCTACTATTTGCTTATTATACCAGTACTACTATTTGTGAGAGCAAATTGTTGGTTGGGGAGCTTTCAACGGGGCGAATTGGTCCCAGCAAAGACAAGAGCCTCTGTAAAGAACTCCACAGCAGAGCGACTTTCATCATCGTGAAATGGCAACGTAACAACAATCTTGTCGTATCCCTCCGCATTTCCAGCCGGAAAGGTCACGGTCGTTTTGAATGCCTTGACACCTGAGTTTGCACCAATCACTTTGCGAGGCTTCTGCACTTTCCAAGAAACGCAATCAGCCGGGAGACAAAGAACACCAGTGTTTTGATTGTCCTTGTTCAGATTGACGATCCGAAAAAGAGGGAAAGAACCATACTGCTGTAAAGCTAGCGCCCCACGAAATTCATGAATAACAGCACCAGCATCCTGGATCTCGACTCCTCCATTTGAAGATGCCTCTTCAACTCGGTAATTTGGACTGCTTGCCGCAAGGTTCCTCCAAGAGATGGACATGACAGATGGTAGATGGATTGTTGATTTATTGGGGGTAGCTTTGATGATGTGGTTGGGTCGGAAGGTTTCAATTTGTTCAGCCGCGGTTTGAATGCCTCAAATGCGCGGCTAGTTTGAATTCAAATCGAGGATTTCAAGCAAAGCCTCTCCGAGACGGAGACAACTCCTCACCCACACTTCTCTCCCTCTCTCACAATCTCCATCGGCAAGCAAATTCAACCACAATCCACTCGCCTACAACTCTACTGGTATCATGTCGCGCCCCAAGCCCAAGTACATCCCGTTCACCAACGAAGAAATGATCTGCAGCATTTTTGTCGGCACGAAGAAAGATGAACCTGCAATCGGCACCATCGTCAACAACACCAAGATTCTTTCCGAGGATAGTCAACTCAAGCTCCAAGATTCTATTGATGAAGCCCTTTACGGAGCCGACAAGGATGCCACGTTTTGTGACACTCTTGGCAGCAACATTGTGTGGCCGAAAGAGGCTTTCTGGGACTTTGTTCTCTTCCTGGACAACCACGGAGACGTGAAGCGTATCACTTGCGTCTCCAACAGCTGCATTGTGCTCCTTACCGAGAGTAACTTCACCATCGCGCTTCTCATCTCCGGCAACAACTTCGACATCAGTCCGCCCAAAGAAAAGACCAAGATCCGTGACAGCATCGACAGCTTCGAAGTTGAGGTTGGTTTGACCCAGGAGGTTGCGAGGCTCACTCCATTCAAGGCTACCATGGCCACCAGGTCCTCCAAGCGTGGACGCTAGGATATTTTTGTTATCCACGCAGTGTACAGCTCCAATGCCGTCGGCTCTCTCTCATCTCTGTCATCGTCATCTTGCTTGGTGGCTGGTTGGTTGCTTGGTTGGATAGCTGTTGGTTGATTTGGATCGGACGGAACGGAATTAAGAAACAAGTAGTCGTTAAACAATAATTTAAGCATTTAGTCATGGCGGTATCCAAAGCGTGGCTTCAGACATAATGACTATATTTTTGATACTAAATTAGTACTCGTGACAACCTTTCGCGTAAATGGGTACAAAATTGGTATTCTTTTAAGGTGGTTGTTAGGTACAGTACACTCTATGCACCCGTGGTAAAGTACGGTACAGTACCGGTACTGGAGTAACTCCTCCTGATATTCTTCGGAGTTGTCTAAAGGAGGGCGTCAAGAGAGTCGACACTCAACATGTGAAAGATTGTGTCACGACTAACATCAGTTTTCTTTTTTTTCTTTTTTTTTCTTCTTTGGATAATGTTCGGGTACCCCTACCCAAAAAGAGATTTGATTGGTCAAATCATTTACTGTGTTCAACTGGACACACTATTGATAGCAAGTCTCCATAGCCAGCCAGTACGGGCACAGTGGTATCGGTACCCATGGGTCCAGAGTACTGTGTCAACAGAACACACAATATAAATCCCTATCCTTAACAAGAAAAATGTCCCTTATGTCTTTGGCAAAACCTCCACCGTGTTTATCTGGACACCTAGCGAGTCTGCATAGCCAGCCAGTACTGGTACCCATGCGTAGAAACTACTGTGTCCAACAGAACACACAAGATTAATCCCTATCCTTAACGAGCGACGAAAACAGCTGCAACAAACACACACACAAACACACACACAAACACACACACACACATACACATACATACAGCGATAAGAACAAGCAGCCGGAGGCTGATGCCCTCAACTGTCAAAAAGAGATTTGATTGGTCAAATCATTTACCGTGTTCAACTGGACACTCTATTGATAGCAAGTCTCCATAGCCAGCCAGTACGGGCACAGTGGTATCGGTACCCATGGATCCAGAGTACTGTGTCCAACAGAACACACAATATAAATCCCTATCCTTAACAAGAAAAATGTCCCTTATGTCTTTGGCAAAACCTCCACCGTGTTTATCTGGACACACTAGCGAGTCTGCATAGCCAGCCAGTACTGGTACCCATGCGTAGAAACTACTGTGTCCAACAGAACACACAAGATTAATCCCTATCCTTAACGAGCAACGAAAACAGCTGCAACAAACACACACACAAACACACACACACACACACACACACAGGGTACCCTTGCTTTTCTCACAGCCTACCCGGCTTGTATCTTTTGCCATCCCCAGCTTGCTCCACTGATGAAGCAAACAGCGAAATTCCTAAGCTCAGAATTTGGAAATCAGCAAGCAACGGTATACCCCATGGATAAACATCCAAATGGTAGATTCGTCGTAGATTAACTCTTAGTAGTGTCTACACACATCTCACACAACATCACACATCTCACACAGCACTCAACGTACACACACCTACACACACATTCTCGTGTCGAGAAAGGATCTGTCGTCCCAGAACCAAAACGCCATTTCAGCTCCTTCGAAACACCAACGAAGGCGCAACCACAATTTGAAGGTCTGAACCTGACTCAAGAGCACTCATTATATCAAGGGTATCTCCAGTTGGTTCCCCTTCGAACCCCCAAAGCATCATTGTCGCCCGGATCAATAGACTACTTCGTACTGAGCGAAAAAGAGGTACGAAAGGAAAGAAAAAAAGATACGCCAAGGTAGCACACCTGCTCTGGATATCGCTCCTTTGAAAATCGAATCGATCGATCCATTCGAATCGAACGCACGATTGGCGCGCACCTCTACGTACGTCACTCGGAACTCGGAACGAATCGTTCCACGGAATTCCAGCGAAAACACCTCTACGTACGTCACTCGGAACTCGGAACGATCTGGATCGTTCCTCGGAATTCCGAAGAAACACGACTGAACACCTTGGTTTTAAGATAACGTATTCTCGCTCTGAGCCACGGAACCGAGCGATTTTTCGAACATACCAACCAACCAAGGTCTATAGCCACACTATTAAGGCAACCAACCAACACGGTTACAGACAACAATATCAACAATATCAATAGTAACACTAGCAACAATGCCTGAGGCAAGAATTGAGAGAGTTCCCATCCTTCGCAATGGTGGTCGTGGCAGAGGCCGCGGCCGCCGCAACTCCAATGGCGGCAACACCAGCGCCAACAGGAATAACAACCAGCGCGAAGATGATGGTTCCCCCAGCAGGAAACGAACTGCCTTTGATCCATCCGCGATCAATCCTCAGACATACCAACCCGATGCAACACAAAAGGAATCACGAGTGGCCCCACTCAAGCCGCCCTGAATTTCCTACATGGCACCACTGCGACGCTCCATGAGGCATACCACCGTACCGTCAACAAAGTAGGAGAGGAATTCATCAAAGCCTTTGCGGCACACCAGCGCAACAAGGACACTCTCGACGGTATGATTGATGGCAACAACCAAACCGGGGAATTGACCCCGTCCCGGATTCCGAAATCAGTCGATATCAAATTCGAACTGAAGGCTGGCAACCCAGCAATGGAGAGCGATGCGAGCTTCCAAGCTCTCCAACAAGAATCCACACAAGCTGTTGAACTCTACAAACAAACCCAAGCAAAAATTCTCATCGAAAGAAACAACTGGACGTCCAATATGCTCAAAGGCCGTAGCCGAGTCCCTGCTAGAGGCCTTCTGCCCATCGCCAATGGCACAAGGTCATCTGCGGCAGAGAGATCTCAATGGCCATGCAATCGTCACACCATCCTAGAGGCACACCAGAGGTGTTGCTCAAACACACTTGCATTGACCTAGCAGCATTTAGAACAATATACATTAACGTCCAAGGTCTTGCAACCCTGCCTGATCCATTACCAGTAGTTGACACTCAGCAACAGCCTCAGCCACCTGTGGCACTGCTCAGCCAACAACACAATGCGCCTGTCCAGCCAGCAGAACCCCCGGCTCCCCACCTGCAGGGGCCCTACTCCATCGACCAATTGACTGCTGTCTCTAGCCACAGCGACCTCGAGGCCACCCAGGAACACATCCAGCGATGCCTAGCACGAGGCGCTAGTGCCGAATCCTTCGAGGACTACAATGAAGCCAAAGAGAGAGAGCACAGTCTCAGCTGGACAAGACCATGACGCAGCAATTACCTACAAACTAGCAATGGAAACATATCAACATGCACTGGCACAGTACCAAACCCAATGGAATCAACATCAGCAGGAGCTCCAGCTATACCAGCAGGCCCTCCAGCAACACCAGCAGGCAACTGCAGCAGTTCCAGCAGCAGATACAAACAATATCAGCAACAAGCCCAGCAGCCCTCCATCCCAGAGTTGGCCAAGCTGGAGAGACTCATCACCAGTGTCTCTGCACACCCATTGACCAGTACCAGCACCAATCCTCAAACAATGTCAAGTCCCTTGCTCTCAAGAAGCTACACAAAGAGGCATTCACAACCAAGGCCACAGAGGACACTGCAATGGAGATTGACAGTGAACCTGCCTCTGACTCCCAACAGATCAAGGATCTGGTCAAGAAAATGGTACAGGAGGAACTGAAACAGACCCAAAAGCAAATTGCCAGAGCCACTAGCAAACATGTCACCCAAGCGCTCAACCAACAGCGCAACACAATCAAAACAACAACAGCTCAAAAAACAACAGGAGGGGCCCAGCCCAGGGAGGCGCCTCCAACAACAAAAAGAAATCTCCCAACCAGCAGCAGTCCGCCACAGGCGGCAGAACCCAACGAGGAAGGTCCCAATCCGCCCAAGAGGCAACCGCCCAAGAAGCCAAAGCAGAGGCCGCCAAGGCGGCCGCGGCGGCAGGGCAGGAAGAGGAAGGGAGGAAGAGCCGGAGGAAGAGGCAACGCTACCTCAGAGGCTCCACAAGATCGAACAGAGGCCGCTCCAGAAGCTCCTCTCCCAGCAGGAGGCAGAACACCAACACCAGGAGAAGCAGGTCCTCCAGGCGATCGACAAGGAGATAGAGCTCACATATGGCTTCGTCTCAGACCCCGACCTCCATCTACACGACAATGTACAAACTAGAGGACTCCTTCATATGCCGGCCTGGTACTACTTTGCCAGGCCAAACAACCTTGCATACCACGACTTACCACGACAATTAAGCCCCACCAGGCCTCTACTCACTGTTGGGCCTGGGCCACAAGTTCATTCTACACCTAGATACTCCCAACTTGGAATGACATCGAACAAACACCCTCACCAGGTTCTCCAGGGACCTGAGGGTGAAAGCCTTCTGTATTGGCCACATGCAGGAGGACAACACAGACAATAAAATAAGCAGTGATGAATACAATCCACGAATGCATCTGCAGTCTGACTGGCTCCCACCACCCATATGGTGCCCACTCCAGTATAGACCAGCGCCTTCAGCGCTTCAGCAGTTCCTCCAGAGCAAATTCAGCCGGAAGAAGAGAGGCAGAGCCAACCTTCTGCCCCACCAGCGGCGTGCCCCTGCCAACTCAGACGCAACAATGCCCTTATGGTCGTCCAATGTGACAAGAACCTGGGCCCAGCGACAATTGAACGGCATGCCTACATTGAACATGCATTCCGCGATCACCTTGATGATGAAACCACCTATGAATTCATCCTCACCCCACAAGGTTGAGCACTACAAAGACAAAGTGAAACAGAACTCCTGAAGTGGCTCAAGAACTATGGCAGCACTGCCTGCACTGACAAGGAGAGAAAATTCCTCAAAGCTATGATGAAGAAGAATGAGGAACCATTTGCTTATTTCTACTTGACAATGAAAGTCCACAAAAAACCCCTCAAAACCAGGCCCATTGTCTCCTACAGTGGCAGCCTGCTGGAGGGGCTGGGCATCTGGCTTGACTCCAAGCTTCAGCCAGTTGCTCAATCAATGAGATCCTACCTGAAAAGCTCCTTCGATCTCAAACAGGAGCTCATGTCCCTACAGCTACCACCCCACTGCAAACTCTTCACGGCTGATGCTTCCTCAATGTACACCAACATTCCCACGAGGACAGCCATCACCAAGATCTCAAAGTGGCTCAAAGACAACCAAGAACAGTTCCCAGACCTGCCCACCAAGGCAGTCCTCAAGGCACTGATTCTCATTATGGAGTGGAGCTTCTTCCACTTTGGTGACACCACATGGCGGCAACTCAAGGGCACTGCAATGGGAGCCCCACCAGCCCCACCCTATGCCACCATCTACTTTGCCATCCTGGAGTCCATTCTGCTTCGATCCTTCATGGATAGTCTTGCAGTTCTGCAGCTCTACAGGAGATACATCGATGATGTCTTCGGCATATGGCACTGCCGAATGGAAGACAACCAGCTCCTGTGGGAGGGCTTCCAAAAGGCAATGAAAGCAACAATGAGTACAAGCTGCACTGGAGTTCCTGAACTCTTCCAGTCAGGTGGATTTCTTGACATGACAATCACCCTCAACATGACAACAAACTGGTCAACCACACTGTATGAGAAACCAACCAACTGTATTCTACATCCCATCCCACTCCTGTCACCCACCAGGCCTCCTGTCTGGAGTGGTGTGATGGCAACCTCTTTAGGATCTATACACTCTGCTCTGAGGAGACTGACAGGCTCGCCAGGACCAAGTCTTCTTAAGAGGCTCCTGGCCAGGGGCTACCAAGCCACCACACTAGGCCCCTTTTTGAAGCAGACAATCACCAGGGCAAGGGCCTACACTGGCCCCCAGCCCCACAACAACAAGAGGGACACATGGGAATCCAGCTGCTGCACCTGGAATACCACACCCAAGGATCCCATCATCAATAGGTCTCCTCCAGCAAGCGCTGGAGGATTGCAATTGCAATCCTACAAACCCTTGATGCCCTGTCAAGCAATGTCCGGATCCCACACAAGATATGGAGCCCCATGCGAGGCAACATGCCAATGGGACTGGATAGGATGTATTGTAGCCTACTCCAGGACCCCCAACCTTGGTAACCTACTGTCCTACAGGAAGGTTCCCGAACTAGATGGCTCCCCCGTCATCACCTTTCTGGATTAGAGGCTGTCGGGGGCCATGGAACACACACACACACACACGCACACACAACACACACACACACCCACCACCCACACACATCCAGTCCACAGCATAGTATATCGCTCTCTGAATGCCTCATGCGCATGGTATGGATTTACGGTTTAGTTTCAGCTTGGTCTCGGTCGATACGTACCAGCTCCTATGTGTCTATTTTCGAATCACCACAAACAGGGTAACCTTGCTTTTCACACAGCCTACCCGGCTTGTATCTTTGCCATCACCCAGCTTGTCCACTGATGGAAGCAAACTAGCGAAATTCCGTAGTCTCCAGAATTTGGAATATCAGCAAGCAAGGTATAACCCATGGATAAACATTCAATGGTATGATTCGTCGTAGATTAACTCTTAGTAATGTCTTACACACATCTCACACAACACACACACTTCACACAGCACTCAAGTTACACCACACCTACACACACACACACAACACACACACCACACACACACAAACAATGTATGGTTACCTCTTAGGATCCTATTTACAAAACTCTGCTCTGAGGAGACTGACAGGCTCACCAGGACCAAGCTCTTCTTCAAGAGGCTCCTGGCCAGGGGCTACCAAACCACCACACTTCGGCCCCTTTTTGAAGCAGCAATCACCAGGGCAAGGGCCTACACTGGCCCCCAGACCCAACAACAACAAGAGGGACACCATGGCAATCCAGCTGCTGCACCTGGAATACCAACCCAAGGATCCCCCATCAAAGGTCTTCCAGCAAGGCTGGAGGGATTGCATTGCCAATACCACGAACCTGATGCCCTTCAAGCATGTCAGGATCCCACACACAGTGGGCCCTATGCGAGGCAACATGCCAATGGGACTGGATAGGATGTTTGTAGCCTACTCCAGGCCCCCCAATCTTGCCAACCTACTATCCTACAGGAAATAAAAAAGGGTATCTCTCTCTTTTT